CTGAGAGCGAGGGTCTTCAAAGTGGTAAAATTCCTTATAGAGGTCGCTTATACTGCAACCTATACGTGGGTCCTGTTGTGGTTAATAAGTGGGTGGAACGGGCCATTCACACGCTTTCTTAATATACACATAGGAAAGATCAAGCAGTGTGTGATCGTCACCCTCTAATTCATGGTGAGCGAGAAGTCGTATAATTATCGGCGGAAATCACCCTCAAGTACACAATTTTACGACCACTTATACTCTTATTGACATGAGCTTACTTCTTGGAAGGTTGAAAAAAGATGATCTAAGAAAGCCACAGCATGATTAGGGAAGAGAATGAACTAAATAATCACAGGACGTTTTACTTACCGATGGGTGACGAGACTCCGTTTGACCCTTGTGGTCGGACTTGTCGTTCAGAAAGGATACACTCTGACGATTAGCACTTAAACGAGTTGAGCGGCGGAGTGTCTCTGGATGCTCTACTGCTCTAGATTTTCTGCGGCTCGCTGAAGCCGATTTCCGAGCAGAATGTCGATGCCTAAATGTGGGCAGAAAAATTAAAGGCGAAAACAAAAAATTACATTCACTCTTATTCTTACGTCAAAGATGGAGAGGGTACTCGCCGATCTACTTGGGAAACATGCTCGTTCTCTTGTGCCGTGGAGCTCCAATTACAGCCGTCGCAAGCAGTCATATAGCTACATGTAATATATGGTGGAGAGGAACAGACAAAGACAAGAGGGACCGGAATGGCCATTTCTGGCTTATTAGCCGTGATCAGCGTTTCCAAAGTACACAGGCGCCCATTTTTCTTGCGGAAACCCTGTCCTTGCTGTATGGACTCTGATGGCTTGCAGGTTCATATGATCATGTCTGATCTAGCCGGCGTCAATGATTTCACGGACGGTAGCTCTCCATGCTTAACGATTGGTGGCAGTGGATATGGAGAGCTCTATCCAGTCTCTTCTCCAGTGCCGGAGACCGAATACCGAAGGTCCAAAAACCACTTCCATGTTCTGGCGGACTGAGTCGAGCCAGGTTTTGAGTTGACCCCCTCGTCGAAGTTTCCAATTAGGTAACGGTTTCAAGTCGAGGGTAGTAGCACTGAGATCTTGAGGTTGACGACGAGGAACGTGTTCAAACCACTTCAGTCGTCTTTCCTGAATGGTCTGGGGTACCATTGTGATTTTGTCCCAGCGAGTGCGGACTGTCTCATTTGAGACGAAGTCCGAGTACTTCACTCGACGGATGCTCCTCAGACAGTAGTGGTCAAAGACTTCTAGTTTCCGTTCATCTTCCACGCGCATCGCCCAACATTCGCATCCGTATAGGAGAACGGACGGCACAGATGCACGGTACACACGGATCTTTGTGGAAATAGAGATATCGCATCGGGTTCATAGGCACTTCCGAAGGCTGGAGAAAACTCGTCGGGCTGCGACAATTCGGGAAACAATGTCATCTTTATCCTGTCCATTCATGTGGCTTTGAAGGGCGCCTCGGGAGAGTT